CATTTCCACACCACTGATTGAAGCAGATAACGTTTGGCGCGTTTTTTTTAAGCGGTGTCCCCAATAGGCCTATATCCACTCTGTAAAATACAAATAAATTACAGTATATTTGAGAATGAATAATAATATAACATATCAGTAAAACGTACACGATTCAATTATTTTTATGAAGTATACTCATCATTTTGAGGGCTTAAAATATTATTGCATAATAAATTTATCCCGAAATCCTCTTTTTCTTGTGCAGTGGGTACAACTATAGAGGAAGTAGTTGGTTTTCTGTTTTTTTGTCGAGACCAACCTTCTTTGAGATTCAAATTTCGTACGTTTTGTTGGTGGTTCTCCTATGACAGATGCAAACATTGAACTTCGTTTCACGGCATTCTGAGCTCGCATTGTTGCTTGAGTTTGTCTAATCATTTTATGAATCAATCACGTGATTACTTCAATCAAGTGATTGGGAAATGATAACAATTTATAAAAACATAAAATAATATACCCAATACTGCTATATTAACATGTATATAATTAATGTTAATATTTAATTAATATTAATATATTAATATTTTATTTATAAATTCAGTTTTCCATCGCATATGTTTTGTGGTCGTAAGTTTCAAATTTAAGTTTGAAATTTCCCGCGATGCGACTCTCACGTCAGCTCTTCGCATACAATCGTCGCTCCGCAATTTGCTCTTCCGAGACACAAGTGACCAGGACCAGTGGTGCACGTTTATTCATCATTGTCACTGCACATCATGTTTACGGCATTAACGAGTGGTCGATTCTCACTTTCTGGAAAAAACTTCTTTTCTCGTCACGAGGAGAAATTTTGAAAAAGTGTTCCCAATACTTGTAGCTTTTTTTTACGGCAACCAGTCAAAGAATGCCTGATTAACAACCTAAACGTATGTTTTTCTGCAATTACAGCTTTTCATATTACGAAAATGCAAATAACAATAGAATTGATATTATTGTAAGACTTACGGCCGATTGCAAAAACGTTTGATATGGAATCCATACGCTTATTGGTTCTATAAAATAGTCCATAGCGGCAAAACGTGTTTGTAATGGATGTCCAGAAAGTGAGGACGAATTTAAATTTTGCGTCATTTTATCAAACGACGATTGTCAAACCTGGTTTTATCATGTTTGTTATCTATTATCTTTCCCATTAGTATCCTGATAGCTTGTGTGTGGTGAGCATTGTTGATTGATATTTATTTTCATGGAGCAGATGACTACTGAGCAACGCATCCAGGTGTTGAAAAATTATCACAAGAACAGTGAAAGTCCCACCGCAACCGTTCGTGAATTACGTGTGATATTCGAACGTAATGCTGCTAACAGAATCGTCAGTTCGGAAGTTGATCCGGAAGTTTGAGACCACGGGTTCTGTGTCAAACGTTAAGAAAACAGGATGACTGCGTACTGTTCGAAATGAAGAAAACATTGTTGCCGTGCGTGACAATATGACCGTAAGCCCCAGAAAATCGGTTAGCCGACGAGCTCTACAATTGTTTTTTTCTCAAAAGTTCACTGAATATCATACTTTCAAAAGATCTGAAAATGCATGCGTACAAGATAAAACTTACACAAGAGCTGAAGCCTGCAGATCATGGAAAGAGACGTTGATTTGCTCAACGGGTTTTGGATCGACAAGCGGAGAAAGAAAACTTCACAAAAAGAATAATTTTCTCAGATGAGGCGCACTTCCACCTCAGTGGATACATCAATTAGCACAACTGCGGATTTTTGGCTTATGAAAATCCGTGAGTGACTGTGAAAGATGAGATGCATCCACAACGCACGACTGTGTGGTGTGGATTCTGGGCAGGAGGCGTGATCGGCACGTTCTTTTTTGAAGATGAGCGAGCTGCCGTCACTCTGATCGTCGACCGGTACAGGAACATGCTTTCTGATTGTTTTTTCCAAGTTTTGGATGAAATGTTGAAACCATAAATCGTCATATTCCAAGATGGAGCAACATGTCACACATCCCATGAAACGATTGCTCTGCTGAATGAAAAGTTTCCTCAAAATATTATCGGTTTGCATGGCAACCAGGAATGGCTTGCTAGATCATGCGATTTTACGCCTTGTGACTTTTTTGTGTGGGGATTTGTGAAATCAAACGTCTGCGTGAACAAACTACGAACAATAATCGAATTGAAGAATGAAATTACAAGGGTTATTAACGGCACCCCACCAGATGTTTGTGAAGATGTCATCTCTAACTTCAATGAACGCATTGCTCGTTGCCGCGCGGCCTTGGGTGGTCATATGGGGGATAAAATTGTTATTAATAACTTCTCCCATTTATGTAAGATGTTTGTAAAAACAAACATAATTACATTTTCTATAAATTTTATATATTCTAGAGCACTTCAATATTAGTCCTTATTTGCTGGTCACTCTTTACAATAACCAATAAGACTTATGGAACCTATAAGGCTTTCTATAACTTATAGGTCTTGAAACGGGTCTACAAATGTTTATGGATACAACAAATAAGCAACATGGCGGCTCGGCGCATCGCTACAGCTGTTTGAGGTTATTGGTGGTACCTGACGTGCGTGTGTTGTGCGAGTTTTAGGTGTATTTGTATGCGTTGAATGTCGGTGAATTCAATTTTCATACATTATTTTTGCATGTATTGTGACGAGAAGTATGGATTAACTTTGGTTATGAAAATGTGTTCATTTTTGCTAGAATATTTTGTCCTTTTTAAATTCTTCTTCACCAAGCACAAACATCAATCAACATCCATCTAATGCTTACGTGTGGCATCCAACCCCTTTTGAGGACAGGCGCCTTTGTACATGATACAATCTCGCTTTATTGTATCATGTGCTGGTGAATAAATGGGTGTAATGAATGAAAATGATAGTTTTTCAATTATGTTAAAATTAAAAGATTCGTAAAATAATAGTTCAGCTCGCGGTTAACCCTTCGAAGAATCATAAGTGTATATAATTTGCAATCATCATGCTGACATTTGGTTTTTTATAAAGAATAATTTCCAGTTGTAAAACGATTTCTTTCCAATAAATAGATAATCTATGAATATTGCAAAAATTTATTGATGAGCAAATGATGGAAATGTTTCCTTGTAAGTGCTAGTATTAATATCAGTAGTACAAATAAAATTTGAATAATTTAAATGATTATCCTGTTTATTTTTTTTAACTCGTGAAATATTTTAATGCATTATTACCTCCTGCCTATATTTGGCAAATTAAATGCCTTAACTTCTGGGCTCTACTTGTATTCATTGTTTAGATCGTAAATAATTTTTTACTTTGTATTTCTAAGAGATTAGAATAGTAGTTCATTATTAATTTTAATTTATTATTAATTGTATCTGAAAAAATTAAAATTTAGAATTTAAAATAAAGAATGGAAGGTAAATTAATTTATTTAAATACAAATAGGCAATGGCTAATATAAAGAATTAATTGTACTTAAAATACAGTAAAAATTAAACAAAAACGAAATTAAAGAAATGAAATTGCCACTGACAGAAACAACGAAAAACACCTCAATAGAACGCAACACATGCCGAGAACGTACAAAACGCTGTAAGGAATAAGTAATGTTCAAATATGGATAGTGTCGCTATCTATTGTTTGCATCTCGAAGTTCTTATAGAATCTATAGTTATAGATTCCATAAATTTGCTTTATCCAATGGTGCACGACCTGTGGAACCTATAAATGTTATTTAACACATAGCTGTGGAACCAATATGGAAAGATTTATGGAACCGGCCCTTTCTGTGGTTACTTACTTTACAGAACAACGCACCTGTTTCTTGAATTCGTTTGGACCTGGCTCGTTTCAGTCAGACCCTAGTAGTGTCAGTTGTTTATAAATGAGCTTAATAGTCGTATTTCGTCAGATTTCCATTTGAGACCATATGTGTGCTTCTGCGATTGAGAACATGACACAACTCTCTCGTTATACGTCACCTCTTTTCAACCGAAGACCTCATAAAAATGTTACAGTTGTTAAAAATTGTGATGTTTTGTGAGTGCTATTTGACATGGAATGACTCATGTGTCTCCTAACGGACTCTTTAACTAATTAAAGCAAGGGAAATGACGGACAAACGACGAGCTGCAGATGCGCGATACGGTGATCGACGACGACCCTGTTATTAAAAAGTACCAATGAATCGGCCGAAGAGAAGAGACGGCAGTAAACAGCGAGATTGAGCAGACTCGGCCCTTATGAAAGAAATAAGAGTGAACGTTTGTACTATCACCGGGGTATAGAGTGAAATAACATGGCGTTATTGGTATTCATTAACAGTTGGTGGTGTTAAGTCTCGAGTGTATTACATGACGAAAAACTTCAATGAGTGGTGAAGCACGTGCAGGGCCTGATTACCAGTCAGCGGGGCCCTAAGCAATAAATATAGCGAGACACCGTTGATCAATTTTTTAAAATCCAAATGTATACATTAAATTCAATTTTTAATTTAAAATCTACCCAAATAGGATTTCTATAGTTCTGTTTATAAATTTGACAAATTGCAATATAACTCAACTAAAACTGAATACAATATGTATGTATTTCATTTATTAATCTATTTTATCAATCAATAAATATATCATTAATGCTTTTCGTCCACACTTGACTATTCATATGTACATATACAATATCTCATTTAAATCAGCTTTCTTCTTAGCACATTCTTTTATTAAATCATCAAAATTTAAGTGACTCATAACATCAGATTCAATTGATAGTAAAGCCAACGAGTTCAATCAGTCTTGTTGCATTGTCGTCCTTGAAGGATTTTATTATCCATTTAATTGTGAAAAAGATTGCTCTCTGGAACATTTAAATATTCCTATCTGGGTGTACAATTTATGCTTGTGAATATTCCAATGATGTATATTATGTATTGCTTATTAATTTGTTATAAGAATATGAAGAATTTGGGAGCATTTTCAAATTCAATTCATGTATATTACTTCATAAATGTTTTTACAGATGCTACTTTATTTGCAAATGTTACTTTTGATCGTGAAGAGAAAAAAGTATATCATATACCCATTGCAATAACAGACAGTGGTGTGCCTCCACTTACTAATACAAGTTTTCTAATGGTGGTTATTGGTGATGTTAATGACAATGCAATGAAGAATGGCGAAAGTAGTATTTTTGTATATAATTACAAGGTGAGTCAGAATTAACTTCGTGTTTACAATTTCTTGTAGGGTTCACTTAGAATTTCCCAACAATGTACAACTTCACTTTCGTAGATGATTTGAAATGGAACTACCTTCGCACTTGAATAATAATGTGTTAATAATGTTCTTTGAAGAATGTTTTTGTTCCCGTGAATTTTCCATTCAGTTCATTTGGATTTTCTGTAGTAATTTAGTAAGTAATGAAACAACTTGGTTTGAGTTTTTGGCAAGTAAATTTCAACTATGTGTACTTGTATATAATAATACATTATTATTCACCTTCCAATGGGCGCGCTTTTGATACAAAAGCTGGTGTGTTGGTGCACTACATACTGCCGCAAGAAAAGTCTTTTGCACCCTCAAAACTTATGTTATTTAATTGAAGAAAAACTCGCACAATATTAATACATTTTACAAATCACAGAAATGTAGCGAGTTTTAGGTATAGAATAATAAATAACACATTGTTTCAGAAAACCTTATTAAACAAAATATAACAAGTAAAATAAAAATATAATTAACTAGAACATTGTTATTAAATAGACAAATTATTTAAATGGAGCAATCTGTCATCAAATTTTAGATTCGCATCAAGCAGTTTCCAGAAACTCCGGAAACAGATGGCTAAGTTCTTCTGTTGCACAAGTTTCAGCCCTTTAGCAAAGAGAAACAAAAATAAGACAAGTAATAGGAAAAAATGAACAAAAACCCACTTCAAAAATTTTCGATTTTGTGAACAGTGATCGGAAATGCTTGTAAACGAACAATCTGAATAAGTCAAATGTTTGGGATACTAAAAATACATGAGGGGGTGCGATAGAGGACGTAATGTTGCAGTCAGAACTTATCTTCAAATTATCTTTACGATAGATAGAGAGAAGTCAAAGGAACGGAGATTCTCACGTTTCGTTTAGAATGTTGCCAAGGGAGAATACTGAAGCCCGCTGACAGTCAAATCGCCGTACTCCCTTTGAGTACAATAATAGCACAAAGACCTCACGGGGTGCTTCCGCGCGCCCGCTGGAAGGTTAAGGGTGTGAAAATTTGAAGACATAACTAGATATTATATTATGATTAATTTTTACTGTCGCATAATACTTTATTAAATTTTAATTTTATATGGAATTCTCATAGGGAAAGGCTCCTGACACTGTGATTGGACGAGTATATGTTGATGACCCTGATGATTGGGATATTGTTGACAAACATTTTCGTTGGAAAAGTGATAATGTTAATCAGCCGTTCTGGTTAGATACCGAAACTGGCATGATAACAATGTTAAGTGGAACTAGTAATAGCAGTTTTCGATTGGAATTTATTGTAAGTATTGATCACTTTTGCAGATCGCTTCTGTACCTTTGTTTCATCATTTATACACTTCATCAACCCAAAAATGAGTTTTCTCATAAATGTGTACTTAATGTCAGTGTACGTTGGACTGCACAAACCAGAAAACCAATTTTAATTAGAAATTGATAATGTACCTAGGTTTGTTCACACCATTCTCCTCATCCTTTCTCTGATTTCCTCCATTCGTCCCCTCATTAGGCCCCCCGCCTTAAATCGTCATCTCCCTCCCGCCCATTTCTCTCCCTTCCTCTGCCCTTTTCTCTACCTCTGCCCTCTAACTTTTCATGTACCACAATGGATGAGATATAGACATCAGGCTGTAAGTAGAACATTTTAATGTTTGCATTTATATGCAGGTCACTGAAAAGTCTGCCCTTATTAAGGAGCATTTTGTGGAAGCTGCTGTTAATGTCACTGTAAAAGAGTTGCCAGAGGAAGCTGTTGACAAATCAGGTTCGATCAGATTTGCTGGGGTATCAGCAGAAGATTTCATTGCTCCTGGACCAAACCTTGTAAGTATTAGTTCTTTTGAGGAACAGTAATTTCGCAGGTATAAAGCAGGTACTCTCGTGCACTCTCTCGTACGCTTGGCGAAAAGTATTGCAAAAATGTACTTTTCTCACTCCGAACCTGCATCCAGAGTATACGCAACACACGTTCTAGTTCTGTACATGCGCTCTACCGCATTGCGTTGGGGATGGTACACTGAGCTATGTAGAACTCTTATGCCGATTTTCTCTAAGAACTTGTGTGTGAATTCGCTTGTAAAACACATTCTCTGAAGCGCTTTCGGAAATCCTAGCCGGCTGAAGAATTCGAGCAGCGCTTTTTATCATTACCGAACGTAAGTCTGTCGCAGGAATAGCCCTAAAGTACCGGGGGGACAGAGATGGCTGTAAGCAAGTACTTGTTATCCTTCTCGGATTCCGGAAATGACCCGCACGCTTCGACATTGATTTAGGAAAACACTTCCTGTAGTATCGGCACAATTTTTAACAGGGCCTTCACCTTTTCTTGCCTTTCCAACCTGCTGGGAAATGTCGCACGTTCATTTTAGCCAATAGAAATACTTCGCCATGCTATTCTTACTCCTTGTTACTCTCAAATGATAATTTCGGTAACATCTTCGCGTTTGAACTGTCGTAACGCCTTGCTCGACATATGCATTTTTCACATCTGAAATCAGCATTGCCGTTCTATTGCCCAATATATAGTGTCTGTCGTCACATTCTTTTTGGAATACGGCCGCTTTGGTTTGGACGGTGTGAAATTCCTTGTGAACTACGTCAGGGGCAGATAAATTAATTAGAAGTACATCTAAAGGTTGAATCTCCCAGACCGTTTCTCTTGTAAATTGTCCATCGGTCGCGTAATTCGCATTCACATTGACGGTCGCATCCGTGTCCCTCAGAATTGAATTCCATTCGGTGTCCATTTACGATGCCTCTAGTAAGGTGCCAGCAGGTCATCTACTTCTACTTCAACGATTTTATAAATACTTTTCGCGATTTTTAGCACACTGTCTTTTAAAGTGGTCTTGTGACCCGCAGTAAAACATTTTCTTGTGCCTCTTAAATTTGCATTTTTTCACGTTCCCCCTTATCGTAGAATTCTTATCAGCGAACATAGTTTCCCCGCCTTATTGTTATTTAAGAACGATGCAGTTTTTCTTTTATATCATGCCGTATTATTTTCATAGTTCATCTTCTTAGCTAATTCCGTCGGTGAAGCTATTGCATCCCAGTCATTGACCAAGTGCACTCGAATTTCAGCTGATACTATCCTTTTTTTAATTGGTTGACTACAGTTCATTGGAACAATTGGTCATATATCTTTACTCCAAGACATTAATCCATTCTTTTCAGTAATTGTCAAATTAGTGCGCAAACACGTTCCGAGTTTTTTGACGAGCCGACTCTTTTGATACAGCACACTCTTGCCGAAACTTTTAGGATTGCCTGCCTGCCTCACTCCCGCAATCGGACGTCTTCCAGGCTGTGGCATAGGCACCGTTCTTATAGTAGCACAAGGTCGCCCTCCCCCAGCAAGGCGGAGCTATTGTCATCACTAAAGCTGGAAATTTCATGCAATAACATATTTTTGTTAATTGTCATAGTTTCCTGAAACTTCAAATGTGTTTGTATCATGGCAAATATTGAAAATATCACCCCTCCTCGCGCATGCGCTTTCGATGGGAGATCACTAACTTGTTCTGCTATAGCACCCCCGAAAACGAACCGCGAACCATTCCACCACTGTTATGGTTGCACTTACTCGCTATGCTGCAATTTTTCGGCATTCCACCGCTGCCTCCAGTTTAAATTGTACTTGTCTGTGACGTGGTTACATATTGCACTCCCCTCTTTCCCATTGTGGCGCATTCCACGGTTGTCCATTCTGGAAGTGTAAACTCTGTCCCGCTGGTACTGAATTGCCGCGTGCTGAGTGGTTGTAGTTGACGCCGTGAGTTTTTTTTCTCGGCGCGCTGTATTTGGCCTTGATGGTGCAACCCAAACCCAGGGCACTCAAGTAGGGTCTTTGTCTCAATTTATCTAGTCTATTACTGAGGTATCGTTATATCTCCACTCATGAGTATTAATTGATGCAAAGTGTTAGGTGGCTGGGAAAGCCACAGATTGCTGTCGTGTTCTACGGAGTTCGGACTGTAGTTACATTACGGTTTCTAAGTGGTTCAGAATTGAAAAATACCTCGAACAAATTTGTAAAACAATTCATTGAAGCTATTACGAAACTTTTTTTTATAAATTTCGCAACTGGATTTATCCATTTCTTCATTACCAGGGCCGGTAATAGTTTTTCTGTCGAAAATTCGCCGTTTTTGCCCCGCAGCATTAGATAATTTCCAACTGCGTGATCGGTAGCGAGAAAGTAAAAATTGTATTTTGACCACAATGGGATCCCAGAAACCAGTCTGCCTGTCTACCTGCACCGAGCGGAGTGGGTATACCCTCCGTACGCGTGGCGGTGGTGGCGCGGTAAGTGGGAGGAAAACATATTTTGCCAAATTTATCTTAACGACGTCCTTATTAATTCGTGTTGGGCGGTTGATACGGTGTTGGATTCAGGAATCATGCCGCTTTCGCGCAGTAAGCCACATTAAAAAAATATCCCTAGAAAAATGAAAACATCGAAAATGGGTTTGCGCGTTCTGTTTGGAAAAGGTTAACCCAACGTAATTGGTATGTTAAAACTTGTTAATTATGGGTTACGGATGGAACATCGGACATTTTTTTTCACCCATCGTTAATGTAAATTTCCGTGATTGTGCTGCAATTACCGAATTATCTTAAAAGTATTTTCAGTGCGTTTAGCCTTAAACTACCTTCTATATTCTAGTTTGTTTTGAGATTGCTAAAGGTGGGTTTTGTAAACTTATTAATTTTTGTTCGTTATTTTTTGATGTTGGGAATTCATTGTAAACACACATGTATTGATTGCATAATTTCTTTTTTCAGAAACCTAGTAAATTAGCGCAATTTTCAGCTTATCTTGCTAATATTCTCAACACTTCTGAAGAAAACATTGATACATTTACTGTGCTACATTCTCCACATAATAATGATAGTAATCTATTGGATGTGCGCTTTTCTGTGCATGGATCACCATATTATCACCCAGAAAAATTGAATGCAATTGTTGGAGAACATCAAGAAAAGGTAAAGTTAAACTATCAATTTTTAATCTTTGATGCATTGTTTAATCCTAAGTTTTTTGAAGAGATATCTAGTAAGCTTTGCAGTAGATGTTAGAATTTATTGCTGTATTTTCAAAGGGCATTTCTAAGCAGTACTTTGGCTGAGTTGCATCCTTGGTGTTTGACACATTAAAGCTTACTTAGCATAAGAAGTTACTGAATTTCTTACAATTAAAAACATCGGTAGTTGGTGCACTGACTGGAGGGAGCTTTTGGCAATTCAATGCTTTATCCTCCACAGCCTCAGCTCCATGTTGGAAGTCACAAACTCACAATTTTAGTGTACCGATTTAAAAATAATACAAATGGACATATTTGAATTGTTTTATCTTGCATAAATCAAATGTAAATAAATTTTATTTGATAAATTGATAAATTGAAAAAAAATATCAGAGATGAATGGTCTGCAAATCTTTCAAAATAAAATCAAAAAGGTTTTGAGTTCTTTTTATACAAACATTTAAAGTAAAAAAGTCCTTTTTATGTATCTTGCACCCTTTTTAACTTCTTGATACAGACAATAACTTCAACACTGCATATTCCATTTCTGTAACTCTTGATTTTATTTAACTGTCTAAATGAGAGTTCAATTACAATGTAAAATGACAGTGAGGTGAAACTCAAACAATATTGGGAATAAATTCTAAATGCAGAAAGGGAAGTTTATTCAATAAGGATTGAGAAAAACTTAATTGCAGTTATATAAATTGTTATTCTATCTAGTTATCTTACCATTGATTGTGTGGAGTTGTCAGGAATTCTTTTAGGAGTTTATTTTTTTTCCTTCTGCACTTTTATTTCTCTCTTCTATATACCATATTATAATTTTATATTTCTTTCTCATGTGTATTTTTGTTTTATAATGAACATAATTCGGATTGCCCAGCCTGTTTTTTACTTAGTAAATAAATAAATGACCCCTGTTCGGGGTGTGAAAATGTGGTTACAATTGATACATCAGTAGTCCTGTTAAAGTAAATTTAATGTACACCTAATTACCTCTTAGTATCACTATTATTTTCAGTAGTCTAAGGACATTGCTTTATCTGTTTAGTATGATTGTTTGTTTTCCTCTCGTATTCACTGCTATGTGCATTTTATATGGGTTTCTGTGGTATTCTCTTCACTATAATGCACAATATGATAAACTTGCATTTGAATATTGCACATTTAGTGACAGTACTTGGAGACCATATCACTTGTATCCGGAACAATGACCTTCCTACAGGTTGTTAGTTTGAAAAACATTTAAGTTATCCATCCTAGGTAGTATAACCCTGGAGAGTCAGTCTTTTGTTTATGCAACTACTGTGCTTGATGAATGTTTGCGAAGCATCATCCTGTCAGATGCTACAAGCATTATTCTACATTTTCAGCACAGGAATCTAAGACTAAGGGAGGTCTGTAACGAGACATGTGAGTGATCACTTTGGACGTTTCTGGTGTTTCCTGAACTGTGTTCGAACTAGGAAGTCTGATAAATGTAATTAAGTCTGTGGACCTATATTGTAATTAACGTTTTCTCTTTCCTCTTTATGAATTATCTGTTACTGAAATTTTCCCCCAGAATCATGTTGCAGCATGTGTAACACCATATTTTAGCATAAATGAATGCATTTCAATCTTTGAGTGTGTCTTCTTTAGTGGTCACCAAAAGTCGCATGACAAGGAATGCCAAAATGAAGCTTAAATGTATAGATTATTTGTGCATTATGTTTATCATGCATGACGGTGGCCTAAATAACGGATTTTAGTTATTACTGCATGTAAACATAATATAGAGTTCTCTGAACTTCATTAACTTTTCGCTTCCATAAATATATTTTTGATTGTAGTGTTTTCAAAATGCATGATCACTGCATTCAAATAAATTTCTTCATTCTAATGTGTAAATAGGGGTAAGGTCGACAGATATCATTACCTCCTCCTCCTCCTCCTCCTCCTCCTCCTCCTCCTCCTCCTCCT